AGTCATCCATCCGGCTCCAGGGGGATAAACGAAGGCCTTATGAGGGTAATCCGTGCGGTTTTGTCGTAAAAATATACATATTTAAAACTTTATAAATGAAAATATCTGACTTCCGGCAACGATCGACGCGCGTTCACGGGTGATGTTTTGCTCTGCTCTCTGCATAGCTCTCTGGCTGCGCGGGCGCGTTCGTTCTACGTCACGACGCTACGTCCTACCTCGTACGCCGACTTCCATCACCCGTGGACGCGCGTCGATCGTTGCCGGAAGTCAGATATTTTTATTTATAAAGTTTTAAATATGTATATTTTTACGACAAAACCGCACGGATTACCCTCATAAGGCCTTCGTTTATCCCCCTGGAGCCGGATGGATTACTTCTGTGAAGGATATATGCACATTTTGGGACTTGAAGGAGGTGGACCCCATTGCTTCACATTATATCCACTGAAGGGTCTAAGACATTTTCTAAAATAACTGAAAATGTGTTCGTCTGAAACAAGATTGACATATGCATCTCGAACGGCTTGAGGGTGAGTAATGCATCGTTTAAATATCATTTTTGGCCGAACTATCCCTTTAATTTTCCAACAAAAGATGATCATATTTTTACATGATTTGTTACATTTAATTAGCCTTTAGCAGATTTGGCCTTTTCTGAGAAACATGTATGTGAACTTAAATATCACATTCTCTTAAATGTCTGCAAACATATTATGGTATTTTTATGCATTAGTACAGTCAAAAAAACACATACAGCACCTTTTAACAATATGGTAAATTGAACGGGGATGAAAAACAAACTATTATTGCACATGCATCTGTCATTTACTCACCCTTATGTTGTTCCAAACCTGTATGAGTTTTTTTCTTCTGTTGAACATAAAATATATTTTGAAGAATGTTGGTTACCAGACAGTTGACAGTGGCCATTGACATCCACAGTAGAAAAAAAAAAAAAAACTATGGAAGTCAATGGCTACCATAAACTGTTTGGTTACCCACGTTTTGCTCAATCTTCTTTTATGTTCAACAGAAGAAAGAAACTCATGCAGGTTTGGAACAACATAAGGGTGAGTAAATGACAGAATTTTCATTTTTGTGTAAACTATCCCTTTAAGACACCAGTTTACAGGCGGTAGACAATTAAGATCACAGTTAAAATAGCTTAAGACACGATAGAAACATTTCTACTGACTCAGATTTAAGAATCGATATCGGTTCGTAAAAATTAGAATCGATTAATATCGAGAAATCGATATTTTTTTACCCAGCCCTAATAGAAATCCTACACTGAAAAAATGGTATCGGTGCATCCCTGCGCGTAACATCAAGCAAAGCGCACGTTTCTATGCGCATATCCTGTGCAATGAGAATGTCCTTGTAATTCGCTTCAACCTTTCCGAACTTTATGAAAGATTGTTTTACTGAAGGTTTGAGTGGTGTGTGTGTGAGGAATTGGAAGCAAGCAGAACACGGGTGTTTCTAAAGCACACACAGCGTCATTACGCATCTGTGATTAAAAACTAAGCTCAGAATCGATCCAGAAATGTTGGAGAGTGAATCTTTTCTCCCACCTCTATTGTATAGTAGGGCTGGGCGGTATGACGGTATATATCGTTACCGCGGTAGAAAATGTCAACCGTAACAGATTTTTAAGAAATGCAAATAAGTGGGCGTGGTTAACTCGCGTGCAACGTGCGTAAGACTGAAACACTGAGAATTGTAAAAAGAAACACAGAGAAAGCAGATCAAGAGGATCCACAAAGGAATTACATTTTCTAAAGGGTTGTTGTTGTTGTTGTTAACGTGATATTTTCGGGGGGAAAGGCGCAGCAGACAGATTAGTGCACGATCGCAACGGGGAAAGCTGGACAACAACAGTTATCAATATCGTAACGAATAGAAATAACCTTAAATAATGTATAGTTATCTGCATCTTTCCGTCTCTTATGTATAGTTTTTAAACACGCAAACAGCTTGCCGCCCGTGGTAATGAACAACCTGCTTGTTAAAGTGAATGTATAATCCTGTAGCCTATCTGAGGCAAAATTACTAAATATGCATCGCGATTTATATATTTCTAACTTCAAATAATTGGCCACCGAACCAGCTGATAAAATCTTCCTTTGATTCGATCCGTGATTACAACTTGACACTCAAATTAACCGATCGCATTTTACTGATGCAGAAGACGCGCGCGTGCACACGCACTGAGGGAGCGCGGTGTTCACCGGGCTATGGTCAAATAATGACGCAGTTACAAGGTGTGTATAATTTAAACTAGGCTACTTAGTCAACACTAACAGTAGCTGCTATTCTCCTCCTAGTCACTTCTGAACTTCTATTGATTAAAGCGCAGGGTGACGGGTTGCCAGATATCACAAAAAGAGCAAAATAAGCCCCTTAAAAACGCAGTGTAAGCAGACATGGCAAAAATGTACCGGGTAACACATTTAAACATAACTAGTATTACTATCCTACAAAATTAAAAGGAAGTAACTAATTTATCATGAATAGAATAGTTCAATATAAAATATTCAGATATTATAAACTGATTGATGAAGTAAAGCATAACATGAGATACACTTTATTTAAAGTTTAATTGCACCTATGAGTTGTATTTAATATCAGTTAGTTGGGGGCAGTTTATCTAAAAGTTGATGAGTGTGTTTTGTTTATATTTAGCTATCTAAATAGTTTACCAAATAAATAATTTACCAAATAAGAGAAAAAGAAAACAATGTGAAGTATTTGGGTTTATTTATTATACAAAGCCCTTTTTGTCGATTTTTCGAGAATAACTACATATATAAATATCTATATCGTGAAATATATCGTTACCGTGAAATAAAATGAGTCATACCGTGAAATAGAATTTTGGTCATACCGCCCACCCCTATTGTATAGTATGATGACCAACACAACATTAAATAGATTAAACATAAACTGATCTTTCCTGTATGCCAGGCTTATATGCGTAGCGTGCCAAGCTTCCTCTGCAGACTGCTTTACTCTCGCATGTCACGTGACCAGAGTGTAATCACAGCCTTTGTGGTTAAATCTAATTTTATCATATAGGGATATTATAATGCAATTAATCGTTCAGCCCTACTGTCATGGAATTTACATTCATCCATGGGAGGCAACAATGTTAAATAAATAAATAAATAAAAGTGTCCACTGTCCAGTAACACTGACAGTAACTTTACAAGGTGGCAGTGAGACAAACTTTTGGAACACAAAATTTGGAAACCAAGACGACTTTAAAACAGCTTTGGCTCCTATTTACGATTAATCTCATTGGATAACCATCAGTCATAAAGATAACGTCCCTATTTGAATTCCCCAAAAACAGTCAAGTTTATTTTTTCTGCAATTTAGACCAAAGTACAAACCAGACGTTACCCCATGTCAGGGTCAGAAATTCACTTTTCCATTAATGGGCCCCTTTGCAATTGATTTCCAGGGGCATTTTTTATGATCACCTGTGCTGTCTTGTCAAATACTTACATTTACATTTAATTACTTAAATCAATCAGAATACTATAGACTGCTACCAATAAAATGTTATTAACAAAAGCCATCTTTACACTGCTAAGGTGAAACAGACGCTGCATCTGAAATAGCATAAATGTTTATTTACACAGACTGTTTAATGTTACTCATAAATTATAAAATTAACAGGAACTCTTTACAGGGTCATAATCCTCAATTAATGCTCTTGATATTGTAATAAAGATTATTAATATTGATTAATAGAATGAAAATGTTTTTGCGTTTGGGGAAACTGCACGTAATATTCTGGCTACACGGATAAAATCTAAGAAGCATTTATGAATTATTTTAATGATTTTTTACGCATTAGAAATTGAAGACAATCTTATCAGCATGATGAATAATTGATATTAACCGGAATAAACTGTATACAGAAAGGCAGCAGAGAACTTGACCGATCGTGAAGAGGTCCATAACTTGGACGACTTTTAAGCTCTCACAAACACTGCCGTTAAAATCACGGGAACGGACTACACTGCGACATGAAGCTCTTTACATCGAATCTGCACTTTATTGTTCATGATGGGAGAATTCACGAGTTTCAGTCAACAAAGCATGACTAATCTGAACACCTCTGATTGACCATCACATTCATAAGCTCAACAGAAACGTGTGCGATTGGTTATAATGCTCAACGCTGCAAAACGAAATCTGATGCAATTCTGGAGTCGGATGGATCGAATGAACGTTAAGTATTATAGTGTATTTAACCAATATTATCACAAAGGCTAAACATTCTCTTACATAAATATTTTGAAGCTAATTTCCATGACTTTTCCAAACCTTTTCCAGGCCTGGAAATTGCCATTGTAAAATTACATAACTTTCCCAGGTTTTTCATGACCGTACGAACCCTGGGAAAGGAGACCAAACCAGCTAAAAGCACATCCTGTGTGCAAAGCTCATTTTAGCGCGTGTGAAGGATTATGTTTATGTATTGGAACACAAGTGAAGTACAAAGCCTAGTATACATATTAAATAATAGTTAGCGTCCAAATGCATCATGAATATGGAAACATTTGGATTCGTGCTGAATGAGCGAGGTTGTCTCCATGAGCCCAACGAGTTCCATGAGTTTGTTTCAGTTTCACTTTAAAAAAAATGTTTTTTGTCTTGATGTCTTTGTCTTGATGTCATTCTTGTTCTGTTCTGAATACCGTTAAATTTAATGGATTTGTTGTGGAGTAAAGGGAACTAAAATAGCCTATAGCTATGTTAATAGTGTTCTAAACATTTAGCTTTATTTACTTTTTTTTTTTTTTTACATTAAATGTAATAGAAAAATGCAACTTAAGCAAGGGGGGGGTATTAACACATGATGCTTTAATGGTCATGAATAAACGTGTTCTTTGGGATAAATCCAAGATGGGAATAGAGTAATCAGTTGGGGGACTCCATTAAAACTTGGCCTTAATGTTATTTTACCTTGTTATTAAACTTACCTTTATAGCTTTAATTGCTGATTTTGTAATTTGGGTCATCTTTGCTTTGGAGATAGGTGGTTTGTATTCATTCAGTGAGTACAGCTGAAAAACAAAACAAAACATATGGTGAATTTGTGATTTCATTTAACATTCTTTCTTTATAATGCAAGTTATTAATTTGGTCTAATGTGATCTGCTGGATGCATGTACATAAATTACATGTATATTAGGGATGCACCAATATGAACATTTTGGCCGATACCGTAACCAATAATTCTTTATATTTGAAAGCCGATAACCGATATATTGGTCGATAAATCTAAATTTTTATATAATTTTTGAGAGCTGGATTACAAGAACAAAAGTCTCACAATTGAAAGCCTTGTCCCAAAGCACACAATTATAATGATGTTCTCATTATTTTATGTAGCCTATATGACAGACTTGCATGTCGCTTGAACTATATTTTCCTTTTTTAAGTTATTACAATCATATTTCAAGCAATTCAAAACCATCACGGTGAACAGTGTGCATCTGAAGTGTAGGTGATGGAAATAATCCATTATTTATCGGCTTTAATATATCGGCCTTAATATATCGGCCAAATTTTCTTATTGGGCTGATAAGGATAACATTAAAAATGAACCTATATCGGCCGATATATCACGCAACCCTAACGTATATTTGTACTATATTTGCATTCAGTAATTCATTTTTTTTTTTATATAAAAAAACATCTAACAAGAACAAAAGATATATAATCACATTTCGGTTTGTTGCTATTATGTTGTAACTACAAGATGTATTACAGGGATACTGCAAACTTATAGTTGCAATAAAATCACATTGTCCTTTTACACAAGTCTCCTTTTTTGGGGGGACTCTTTTTCCTTTTTCTCTAAACGTAACTTTTATATGATTTACACTGCTAAACCATAAACACATACAACTCATTGGTTGATTATAATTCCTTATTTCAATTTACAGATAAACTAGCCCACGAGAATGAAAACTCACACTGAAACACGAACTAATTGATAAAGATATGATCTCACTGAACTAATTCAGAGAAAAGTGAAGTCTATTACATTGAAACAGGTTTAGATGGGATGTTCACTAGCACGGCTAATCGTCTGCTGCTAACTGTTAGCAATTTAGTTTTAATAACAAAGGCATTGTCTCCAAACCCCTTGAGACAACCTACAATATCTTTGGGCATCACATGACTTTTTCGAGGTTGCAGCATTTTCGTACTGATTTGAAACATGCTTGTTATGCCGTAAAAAGCAGTTAAGTTGAGCGGCCTATGATGCCCTGCTGTCTAGATAAGCTCAGCTGCTCGCCAGCACTTACACGAAGCGGAAACATTAGCGCTCATATTACCAGAACTTCCTAAATAGGATTAAATATACTAAAGCAAAAAAAGACTATAGTTAAGAAAATGCCTAAAGACACTTTTAGCTGCCGGACTATTTTTTTGTTTAATATTTTTGGTCAACATGTTTTCCACTAAGAAGATGACGGAAAAAAAAACGCCAAACACTGAATTTGAATCTGAATTTATTGCATTTACTCTTTCAGTTTTTAAAATGCACGCAAAGATTCACACAGACCTATCAGATTTTTAAATATTAAATGGTGAAATTATGTAAGATATATATGGCCTGCACCATGCAACCGGCTTGATGACAACAGAGGCCTAACGTTACACTCGAGTTTATCGTGTCTACATTCATACAAATAAATATCATACAAACCTCGCCGTTAAACGCCTTGACGGCCTCCATTGTACAGATTTGAAAGTGTTCTTTCAAACAGATAAAACCGTTATGCCTCTTCGTCCTTATAACCGGCCTGACGCGTGCATGTCCTGAAGTTAGCGGTGGTCGAGATGGAGGAGGAGGGCGCTAATATGGCTGACAACGCGAAGACAAACACAGACCGAATCATCCCGGAGTCGACTCCCCCAGAGAGAGATTCACGATTCAGTGGGTTGGGGAAATGAACAATGCCCTGTAAATGATCTCAGAGGTGCCCCCAGACTCTCTATATGCAATATTCCTGGGAAAAATCAAGTTATATACTTAGGAATTGTAATTAATAAAGACCAAAAACAAGATGTAAACTAAATTCTGATCCTCTAATATTGAAAACCCAAAGGAAACTCAATTCTTGGCTGCAAAGAGGGAGAATTTTAGTCACTAAAGCTGAAGGATTGTCGAGACGTCACGTATAACATATGCAACTCTCTCCCTGAAGGTTGATAAAGAAACATTAAAAAGATTGAAAGCATGTTAAGTAATTTTGTTTGGAAAAAATAAAACCCACTTTATTAGGCTAGAAAATAGAATCCAATAAAACAGGGAGGATTTGATTTTTAGATTTTACTACCTTAAACAACACTTTTCAACTTAATTGGCTTAGAAATGTCCTTAATAATCCCTCACTTTGGAATATTATCCCTAATTATATTTTCTCTAATAAAGTTGGTGGCCTGAATTTTCTTCATCAAACTTTCTAGCAGATGCTCATGGCCTGGCCCCTAATATAGTACAAACACAACTTTTCTTCGCACAGATATCACTTGGAACAAGATTAAATCACTTTTCTTTGACAACTGTTTCAATTTATTTTATTTTTTAATTTTTTTTGTACAGCTTGCATGGCAGACTTTATAACTATTAAGATTTTTTACAGAAATTCCTGCTAATGAATATGCTCTTGTTTTCAATACCATTCCCTATTCCCGTATTTTCTGTTGCAAGGGACTACATTTCCATGGCCATGTACTTATTAATGTAACTGACACAATGATCGGAAATGTATGCTTTGCTGATAGAGCAACAAAAAATTATAAATTCAGAGCTCTCTTCTAGATAATAACCATTCCATTCAATAATAATATTGTAGAGAATTTACCTTGGGAGAAATGGTCTTTCCCTCAAAAGTATCTGCTTACCAATAAAGTTAAAGAAATAACATTTAAATTAATTCACAAATTTTACCTGACCAAAACCTTTCTTAGGAAACGTAAGTCATTGAAGTGAATTGCTGTTTTTGCAGGAAGATGTTATTCACACAGAGAAATTTGGGTCAGATCTGTTAATGTTATCCAATTTTATGTAATCCAATTTTATTTTGTAAGTGACTTTTCTTTATGTTTTATAGATGCTTTCTTCGAAAGAGAATATAGGGAAATATTATTAATTTGTGTTTCCTTCTAGCTAAATTTCACATAGCCTTCATAAACAAAAATTTACTGGCTATATAAACCTTTCTTTTCTCTATTCAAAGATGGGCTAGACGAGGATTTGTCAAGTCAAGTCACGTCACATTTATTTATATAGCGCTTTTTTACAATACAGATTGTTTCAAAGCAGCTTTACAGAGATAACAGGAAAATAAAGCAACAAAGTTAATTTCCAGAAGAAAATAGCGTCACAGTCCAGCTTAAGGAAGTTCAGTGATGGTTCATTTTTGTTGAAAAAGTTATTAATTTAGTTTATTTATATTTATAGCCGCTCTGGAGTAAACCATGATGTCATCATCCAGCTCAGTTCAGTTCTCATAATAGTGTCAATACAGGCAGATCAATATTATTGTTGAAAATTAAATTAAATGTTAAACTTAATGTCCCCAACTAAGCAAGCCAAAAGCCAATGGCAACAAAAAGGCGACAGTGGCAAGGAACCAAAACTACATCACTTGCAGAATGGAGAAAAAACCTTGGGAGAAACTAGGCTCAGTCGGGGGCCAGTTCTCCTCTGGCCAATGAACGAACAGTGTATGATTATGATTCAGGCAGCATTCCAGGTCAGAAGTCAGATTGGATCAGAACAATCAGAAAATTATCCAGTTCCATGAGGTTGAAGATCACGCCGGGATGGAGACGGGTTTGTTGAGGATCAGTGCCGATGGCTGTCGTGTCGATGAGGCCTTCACAGGGGAGAGTCTAGTTGACACAACTTCTGCTGACACTTCAGGGATGCGTTGTGGTCGTGTCTAGGTGCAGGTCCTCCATCTGATCTGGATACGGGCCGGATCCGGCTGACTACAGTAAACCTCAGAATAAGCAGAAAGACTAACATTAGCGTAGATGCCATTCTTCTTATGATGTAACGAGTACATTGGGTGTTATAGGAAGTGTTCCTGGTTCCGGCTGACCTAATTTATGCAATCTAATAATCATTTAACTGATTTGAATAATAGGAATGTATCATTTTCTATGTGTATGCCAGGTTAAAGAGATGTGTTTTTAGTCTAGATTTAAACTGACAGAGTGTGTCTGCTTCCCGGACAATGTTAGGGGGACTGTTTCAGAGTTAAATATAGGAAATGGATCTACCGCCAGCAGTCTATTTTGATATTTATCAACTGGCCAGACTTTTGAGATCACAATAGACGTGAAGGACTATAATGCTCACTCAAGTACTGGGGAGCTAAACCATTTAGTGCTTTGTAAGTAATCAGCAATATTTTAAAATGTATACGATGTTTAGGGAGCCAATGCAGTGTTGACAGAACCAGGCTAATGTGGTCATACTTCCTGGTTCTGGTAAGAACTCGAGCTGCTTCGTTTTGGACCAGCTGTAGTTTGTTTATTATGCAGGGCAACCACCCAGTAGAGCATTACAATAATCTAGCCTTGAGGTCCTGAACACATGAACTAATTGTTCCACATTTTTAATTGAAAGCATATGTCGTAATTTAGATATATTTTTAAGATGGAAGAATCCGGTTTTACAGATGTAGAAACATGGCTTTCAAATGAAAGATTGGTATCAAAGAGCACACCCAGGTTCCTAACCTGACGATGAAGACTTGACAGAGCAGCCATCAAGTGTTAGACAGTATTCTAGGTTAGTACGTGCAGAGGTTTTTGGTCCAATCATTAGAAACTCTGTTTTTTTTCAGAATTAAGAAATAGGAAATTACTAGTCATCCAAATTTTTATATCAGCATGCATTCCGTTAATTTCTTGAATTGGCAAGTTTTGTCGCAGTGCGAAGAAATATAGAGCTGGGTATCATCAGCATAACAGCTGAAAACTAATGCCATTCTTCCTAATGATATCTCCCAAGGGTAGCATGTACAGAGTGAACAGCAACGGTCCTAGTACTGAGCCTTGTAGTACGCCATACTGAACTTGTGATCGATAAGACATCTCTTCGTTTACTGCTACAAACTGATAACGGTCAGATAAGTATGATTTAAACATGCTAATGCAATTCCACTAATGCCAACATAATTTTCGAGTCTATTTAAAAGAAGGTTGTGGTCAATAGCATCAAGGACAGAATTCTTAAATTAAATCCGTTCATCATATATAGCTTATTGCAATTATCAAATGAAAGTCTGTAATTTAATTCAGTTAGTTTATTGTCTGTTGCGCTACGTGTCCCACACTCTAAAAAAAAATGGTTCTTCAGCGGTTCTTTGCGGTGGTCATGGTGCTATATAGCACCACTACCATTTAAAGAACCTGTTAAGCCCAATTTGGTTCTTCAGCGGTTCTTCAGTGGTTCTCTGGGGTGGTTAAGGTGCTCTATGGCACCTCGCAAGGTTCTACATAGCACCATTTGACAAAGATAAGTGCTATATGGCACTTAAAGTGGTTCCCCTATTATTACAAGCCAATGAACCACTTTTAGTGGTATTTAGCACCATTTTTGTTTAGAGTGCAGAGTGAAGAGCAGAACTGAGTTAAACGCCTGCAGTTTACAGTGTCAGAGCGCCTCGGACTAAATGCTGCTTCTCATCAACTTCATCTCTGTATGAGCAGTGAGTTTAACATGCATTTTGGGAACGGAACTGGCACTGGGTTCACTTTATTTACATATTCACACTATTTTTCTATTTTTTTTTTTTCATTTCTGTTGAAGGTAATAGCATTTCACCCAGCATTCGCCAAAGCTTGAAGATTTGAAAGCTTGACAGTGAAGAGTTTTAGACAAAGTTTTAGAGTTTATTGAGACTTGCAACGTTAAATCAAATAATGATTAGGCCCACAATTAGTTATAATATAAACAATAGGAATAAGAATAGCCTATTACTACTACTAATAGGCCCTATAAATATTCACGCAGCCCTATATATAAATATTAAAAAATGAACTTAAAGAGCAAGTGGTAGGCCTACTTCGTGTAAAGAATTTACGTGTAAAGGCCAATTTATACTTCTGCGTCGGGTGCGCGCAGTAGGTACGGCGTAGCATACGCACAGACGCGTACCATACGCCGTACCCTTCGCCGTAACCTGACGCGCACCTCCTCAAAAATAGGCTTGTTTGAGATGCGCCTTGCCTCGCCTGAAATGTAGTCGAGAGTAGGCGGCTGCAGTGAGAGGAGGAGTGAAAAAAGCGCAGGCAAGCCGGACAGATCGCTCTTCTCGCAGTGGATCTGACACCTGTGAGATCAAAGGCGGATATCGCGGGATTCACACTCGTGCACGGTGTTGCTAATAAACTGGATGTATTTTAAGTTTTGTTGCTTGAATGTGAAAATAAATATAATGAACAAGACACCCAAAGTACTCATTTAATTCCATTTTAAATAGGCCTATATGTTTATAAATAATTTTTTTTTCTTTACAGATATGTGTTTTTATTTTTAATTTAAAAAAAAATTACATCACATAGATCGCACTGTCAGAGAGTTTGGGGATATCCACACATAATCTATACACATAAAACATGATATCAGAGTTTTAAAATCAAACATTTTAAAAGAGAACAATACATCACGGTTGTTTAAACCAATGAGCATTAAGCTGTGCCGTCAGCAAGTCGTTTCCCATCATGCTTTTGATCAGCGCAGTCGGTGGAGAGCAACTGCGCGCGACTGCAGAATCCGACACGTGCGCCTTGCGGTCGCGAGAGTTTTTTGACACACGTCAGCATGACATCAGAGCAAGGCGGACCGCACTCGGACACATTTCTAACC